TCCATCGATCTACAACTCTCAGACAATCAAAACCGACATCCATGAGGGAAAGACGAATTGGAGATTTTGCAGCGATTGGATCGAAAGAAAAGCTACCAACAAAAGAAGAATCAAGAAGGGAGAGGAGTGTGGTTTGTACAAGATTATCCTGGCTCTGTTAGTGAGTTTCATGCAGAGAAGGGAAGGGAAGGGCAGGCACAAGTTAAGAGGAGAAAAAGAGGGACGTGGCTAGATGGAGCCAGTGTGTGCCATGTCCCCCGTCTCCTCTCTTTCTCAGACACCTACATTTGTGTTTCATTAGTCATCGGCGATGCTTGGTCACACCATTTTTAGTACTTCCAGCACCCCTGTGATCGTTACTACCATTGCCACCACTATACGAGAAGAAACTGATGAGGCGATGATGGAACATATTCACTGGTGGCAGCGACAGAGACCAAGGATACACCGACATCCTCTCCCACAAAGAGGAGATGGAGTGAACTTATATGTCAAAAAGGGTATTTTAAGAATTTTTAGAAAATGTATCAATCAGGTGATGCCACATGTGCGATGAAAAGTTAATGGTAACAGAGGTTTAGACAATTGTCAAAAAAAAATAAGGGTGTTTTAAGATAATATGGAAACAATAAAGGTAAAGTTAGGTGGCCTTTGATAAATCTAAAAATTCATATATGCAAAGTTAAAAATATATTAAATGTGTTTGAAATCTAAAAAGAGGCATACATGCTTTTCTACTTTTTAGAGGATCTGAATCCATAAGTTTGTTTGCGTTGGATCAACCTTTTACCATTTGAAATTTATTGATTTTACTATTTTACCCCTAAAACATACTATTTGGAAATGTTGAATTCAATTTGCATTATATTATAAAAAATAATTTTCAACCTCGTCAAAATAATATTGAAACAATACAAATAATAAATAATTACTAATTAACATGCCTTTCGTCATACCGTAAATACCCATTCACGATTCCATTTTACCCAATGTTCTCTTGATCCGTCATTTACCAAGGAATCAACAAAGTAGATGCAATTACCTCTGCAACTTAAAAAAGGCAATTCCGACGGCCACAGAGACAAACATTAATCCTCACCTCTTAACAAAACTCGGTTGTAGAGGTCTTCTACTTCCACCCACCTCCGACTCCCAAAATCCATTCTATACACTTCAAACTTTCTTGTTTTGAAAAACATACTAACTGGGTCATAAGGTCGATATTGTTTTACCATTAACAACTCTCCTAATGATTCAACCAAGAAGTACCTATTCCACTTCATACATAGATCATAATCATAGATTTGTTTTTGAATCGGTTCGGATGCAAACTTAACTGCCTTTGTTGTGTCACAGAGGAGAAGTTCTCCATTGTTGGTGAAGGTGTAAAGCTGGCCGTTGAAATATAAGATATCTTCGTACAATTTTCCATATGAAGTCTCATATGGATTTTCAATGTATGTCCACGCTTTGTCTGTAGGTCCTATGGAAACCAAACACTTATTCCTCACAAGAGCATCTATGGAAGTCCATGCTATGGCCATATGAGGGTTGAATGGCTCGAACATAGCCATGGCAACTACGAAGTCTTCGTTATTAGACTCAGAACAAGGAAATTTGAAGAAAGTTGATTTCTGTACCCAACAATAGCAGTCATCGACCTTGTTGATCGGTTTCTTGATTTTAGGGTTTTTTAGGTCTGGAAAACAGATCTAAACTCTAGTGAGAGTATTGAACAGGTAAGGTTGTTCAATGTCAACACTATTGACTGGTAGCCAGCCGTGAGCAGATCCAAAACATTGATGACAACTTATAAAAGACATGGGAAGCTTATAGAGCTTTCCTTTGGGAAAATTGAACAAGTTAAAGGCAGAGGTTTGTCTCTCCTTGCTCACTACTCGTACAGACCAGGGGAGCTGGGAGCATTTCCACTTCAATGGAATAGATCGCCATGAACAGCACACACATAGCAAAGACAGGGGAGAGAGAGAGAGAGATCGAATGTTTAGGTTTTTTGGGTTTGGGGTCATCGGGGTAATTCGGGTCATTTACGAAAAATTGTAAGGATATTTTGGACATTGGGTCGGCTTTGAAATGCGTATGAGCGTGTTAAGAGCTGGCCCAAGGTCTATGATTTTCAGATCTGAAAATCAGTTTCAGACCCAGTTTAAGAGGTACAACCAAACAAGGGGTGATGTATGAAAAGTAGCATTTTCAGATTCAAACCTCTAAAAAGTGCAATCAAATTCCACCTTAGTCAATTTATTAAATCATAGGAATACTTTAAGAAATTTGCTTTTTTTTTTAGAATTTATAAGATAAAAGGCTTTTAATTTGTATCCCATTGCTTTGGAGAAAAAGTTGTTTAAGTGGAGAATAAATATGACCTGGAAAATGAGTATGTTCTATATTAGTCACATCATGTTTCCACATGGCAGAAATTCTGACTGACTTAAAAGGACCCATAAAAGAGAAATTGAAAGTTAAGGGGAAAAGTTCTTAAGGAATTTTACAAAATTTGTTCAGAACTTTCCCTTACACTATGTTTGGTCCCTGGTCATCTTTTGGAAAGTTATTTATTAGGTAAATAAACTTACCTGTATTCATTTGATTTTGGGCAAATTTCTTAAACTACCCTTATTGTTTAACTATTTGACTAACTATACCCTTATTGCTTAACTATTGTCATACGCTACCCTTACTATTTCAAACAATTACCATGGTCGTTAAATTGTAACAGAAGGGATGAAAATGTTCATTTTACTCTTAGGTAATTTTCTCTCTCTCCCTCTCTCGAAAACAAGGAGGAGCTTTATTCTATTTCAGTCTAAGGAATCTGATCTTGGATGTTACACGAGATCAATCTCTCCCTGTTTTTCCCATTTTCAGAGGCAAAGTTATGATTTTCAAACTTTTAAGCGGTTCGAGAATTAATCTTTGTCTTATTGAGCTTCAACCTACGAAATTAGAGCATATAAAACAAAAAGATGGTTCAAATCAAGTGAATGAATGTGAAAAACTATTGATTCAGTACATCTCCAATAGATTCTCAAGGAAATAAATCTCAGTGAGAACTACGGAAAAGATTTACCGATAAATACATATTGTTCATATGATCTTGCTTACTTACCGTGAGAAGCTCGAATGCTCGAAGGAGCTTCAGAACCATTACAAATCCATGAGTGAGATGGAGATCTTTGATGGTTGGGCTGAGAGATCAGAGTCACGCAATAACATTATTTTAGCGAGTGAGAGTCGAAAGAAAGCAGGAATTCATTTAGACTGTGGTCGAGTCATTGATGACTTGATGGCATGATTCAAGAGGCCAAGTCTACGAGATTTGGGGAAAACAACGAGGAAGAAGGAGAGAGAGAGAGAGAGAGAGAGAGAGAGAGAGAGAGAGAGAGAGAGAGAGAGGAGGTGGAGGGGGCTATCGCTGCCGGTTAAGGACCAAGCTAGCTCGGTTTGCTATTGGTGAAAGGAAGAAGAGGGTAAGGGTAAAATTGGGTTTTAAAAAAATATACATCATGTGTGTATAAGTTTTGACAGAATATTAATGGACCATAACGGTAAGGATAGAGCTAGTTAATCACCAAAAACAGTAGGGGTACTGTTAGACAATAGTTAAACAGTAAGGGTACACTTAGTCAATTTCGCAAACAGTAGGGGTAATTTAAGAAATTTTCCCTTTTATCCATAAATTATATAATAACTCTTTTATCCATAAAAAATCATTGTTAGAATGGATAAAATTGCCCCACGTATTGTCAATTTTTTTATTAAGTGGGAAAATTATTTATCCACCTAGGAGATACGTATAACTTACATTATACCTATTTTTCTGTGGATTCCATATAAGCATAAAAAATAGATATGGGAAAAGCAATCAGGGAGAACCACAATTCCATTGACCAAATCCCCCCCCCATTCCCTACCTTTTCTTTCAAACCAAACACAACCTTAATATTATGTTTTGTGTTTATTCTTAAAGACTAGTTGGATGAATTGTTTATAGGAGAGGTTTATATGATCTTAGAATCTTATAAAAGACAATATGCAAATAATTCAGATTAATTGAACATGATGGCTGTGTAGTGGGCTGTGGATCCAATAATAATCGGATTTCCACATCTATATCCACCAAACACCACCGCCGTGTATTGGGAATGAAAAGGGAGATATTCCCAATGCACAACTGTTATGCCATGTGGGAACAAGTGTGGGCAGTGAGAAATTGAATGATTATTGACTATTTTTTATACCTGTCGTGGGGCATTATCATTGGTTGTAGAACTTGCCAAACATCCATTATGTCCAGTTAGGATTGAATGTTAGGTGTGGCCGGCCCATGAACCAGCCCAAGGCACCCAATGGGCGGGCCTGAATCAAATCATATCTGTCATATGAAATAAGGTTTTCAAAATCGGATTGGACCGAAAAAATCAGGAACTGGTCACTTGATTGGTTCCGTTTTACCCCATAATCATCTTTTGGCAAAAAATTATTGATTTGATCAATAAACTGCTGACCCAAGTGGTCAAATTGTTCGAACCATTCAATGGCTTTTGGCTGTTATTTTTTTTATTTTTTTAATTTTTTGTCAAAACAGATCATCCGTTTGATCTAGAAACCAGATCCTTGAATGGTTTATTGTCCGATTCGGTTTTAAAAACCTTGATATGAAAAGAATATCTACACTTCAAGAACTCAACATCCAGCCATATATAAGGAATATCTCTCCATGAATTTAGTGCACAAATACATAAAAAAACCGAACCACCAAAAAGTAAAAACATAATATTCAGACCAAGTTTAGACGGAAATCTAATTGGATTATATGGGATTGGACAGGGCTAGATCCGTATTCGATCCAATTATAAACGGATCGAGTTCGGATCGCCAGGGTCAAATTCGAATTCGAATAAAATGATACCATTTTCTCGTGCCACGTGTTGTATGGCCCAAACTACGACATGATATTCACGACAAGAATGGTAGAATACTTTAGAGCTTAGAACTTCACAGCACAGCGAAGTGGAGAGGAGAGAAGGCACACGGGACAGAGGTCGGACGCGTAGGAAAGCCGACGAGGTTGCTCGGAAGTTGGAAGGTTGTTCGTTCGTTCGGGAGGGGAATGAAGAAAGGGAAAGGAGTAGCAATAATATCGAATCCTCCTGCAAGTGGAGAAGACGCAGATGAGAAGGGCGAATTCTCCCTGCCCCCCGGCAGATTTTCTTCCCGAAATGCTTCTTCCAAATACGATTTTGTTAAGGTTATTTATTTATTTATTTATTGCCCAGTCTCTCGAGAATTTCTTGTTTCCAGTTTTAATTTCTGGTTTTTCAATGACATCTTATTCTTAGATGCTTTGTTTTAATCTTGTTTTTTAATATTCTGTAAGAGCAACAGTACTACCATTTTTTATTGAACTTATTTATTTGATGCGTATTGTATTGGTGATCAGGTAAAGGTATGGCTTGGCGATAATGCGGATCACTACTACGTTCTCTCTAGATTTCTCCTTAGTAGAATGTTGACTGTCACTAAGGTAATTGCACCCTATAATTTTGTTCATTTCTTGTTTTTATTGTTTATCTTTCTGTTGCCTCTTTTTAGTCATTAGTAATTGGAAGTTTTGACTTCTAAGTGATACTTTGAACTCGTTAAGTTGTTTTATGTTTATCGTGTTCTTGATGGACTTATGATTTTTCCATCAAATTTGCAATCACTGGTAGTTGGGACTTGGGATTTTGGACCGTAAATTTGATTTTTCTTGTCAATATTAGACGCAATCAGTTGCATAGAGAAGGATGAAAAAAAAAAGAAGTAAAAAAGTAGAAAAAGAAAGAAATTGCAAACAAGTAGATAAAATAATTAGCAATAAAATTTTGAGAGAATTAGTTACAACCTCCTTAATAACTTGCACACACTAAAAGACAAAGCAATAAGCCATTCACTCCAGCCATTTCAGTTTTTATCTATGGCCCGTAATCTTTGACCACTTCGCGTTTTGCATCGTGCATGAATAAAGACACTATTGGAAAGAATCAGGAGAAGAACCTTTAAGTGCTTCATTTTTTTTTTTTATATTTTGTAATATGTCAGTGATGTATTGGGGAGATTGTTTTTCCAAGTAGGTGATTTTTTCTTATTTGTCTATTTAGTGTAATTTTTTACTTTTCTAATTGGATGGTAATGTATGATCTTTTGTAGATTATTCTAATATAGTTAAAGGGTGGATTGTTGATTTCAGATCCCTAATCATGTTGCTATTAAAATTGCTCTCGAACTGAAAAAACTGCTTATAGACAACAGCCTTCTAGATGTGTATGTCTCTCTCTCTCTCTCTCTCCCCATTAGCACAGAATATGATTATTATTTAACCACTGCTTGTATTGTTCATATGCAGATCCCAATCTGATTTGGAGGCTAATCTCTTTAAGGTACTTGCTAATTATGCAGTTTCACCTCTCAATGCTAAGTCTTAGTGAGTTTCCACATCATGTTCTATTTTTTTTTCATGGTTTTCTTGATCAGTAACGTGTACAAGATTTTGCTGATGATAGAAGGAGTATACGATATTCATGTATATCACATCATATTTTCATTTCTATATATTTACAACAAAGACTTTTTGGATCTAGCCCCATTCTGCTTCTTACTATTCAGATGATTTTTAATGGATGTTGGAAAGATCCTGAACTGGTGAAAAGATCAAATGCCATACCTGATGCATGTACTGTCTAAAACTTATATATTACTCAATGATTAAGATGGAATAATCTTACCAGTGAAGAAACTTTACGAAAAAATAAATTTGTACATAATCTAGTGAATTTCCCTGAAAACTTTTGCTACTTGAAGATTCTACAAAAAAAATTTAAGATATCTTACTTATGGGTCTCTATTTGCAGCTTATGGAGCGACGGGGATATGGGGAAGAATACATAAATCGTTATAAAATGATGACCAGGTAAGCAAGTTTCTGTGTAAATTACTTTTTTCTTTTTTTCCAGATTGTGGTTTGTCTCCATGAATTGAATCAATTCTTCCTGCAAATCTTCTCTGTGTGCTTTCCCTAGACAAATAGTTATTGTATTCCTTGCCACTGTTTATCTTGTTATGGTTTGGTATCCAATCGACAAGAAATTTTAATGGCTTGGTAGCTTATTCTTTGATTGGTTTGTTAAATTTAGTTTTTGATAAATGTAATGGTGCAAGTTGGGTACCTGTTTGAACAATTTAAACTGCATTAGGCCCATTCAAATTTTAACAAATGCTCAACCTGAGCCTGACCAATTGCTCTCATAGATAAATGGTGTAATTTGTATTTCTATATGTAAAAAGTGGCAATTTCCATATATAAACAATACACGGTTAGTGAGTTAGAACCATACATATTCTTTCTATACATAAAAAGGTCATTACCTAATGTATGTTCCCGTTCTCTAGGGTCTTGGGTGGTGCAGAGTGATAGAGATTATAGTTGCCAAGGCATTTAGGTGACTTTAGGAGACAATGGAGTGCCTAGTTTCCTAAGCAAAATTTTGTATTGGTTCCCTAGTTTTATATACCAATTGACATGCATATTAATTGAAAAAATAGCAATTCTCTTTATCACGAACATTAAATTTCCTCTCAAAACATGGTAAATCATCACATCTAAAAATTTATTTTAATATATTAATTTCAATGTTTACAAAAATAAAATTGATATAATATCTATTTAATAGAGAAATTTCATATCAAATTAGCAACTAAGGAAGGCTATAATTTAATATAGTAAAATTAAGATAGCTAGAAAAAGAGAAAAAAAGAACAATTGATTGAATACAAGTTATTTAATACAATGCCTATTTAATTGTGGGGGCCCTATTTTTTGTTCTCCAGGCCCTCTTGTACATCCTTCCCTTTTTCTGAATACAAGTTATCTTTTCTCAAAAAAATAAAAAGATTGAACCACTGATTTATTAAATGTAAAAGAAAGAGTGTAGAAAAAAAGTAATCTCTCTATTCATATAAGGTGGGAAACTTATCATCTAGGGAGGTGCCTAGTTGCTTTAAGTCAAGGCATGCAGGCAAGGTGCCACAATGCCTAGGTGATGCTTTGACAAATATAATCTGGACCTAACCTTTTCATTTTGTTCACAAAGTAGCCACTCTCAGACTTGAACTTGTGTTCTCACGCTTGTCAGCCCAAGATTTTACCACTACATTGAACAAATGGCCCCTATATATCAAAAGAAGAATAATAAAGAGCAGCCTCCCATTAGTTTTCAGAATTTGCATAAGCGAGACCTACAAAATCTTATGTGGGCCAATTTTGCCACATTCTTTCTATCCTCCCATATATGAGTTTCTCCCCTTCCACGCTTATAAACAAACTGCAGAAGGGAGCCAATTCTAAAACACCTTTCTTCTATTTGTTAAATCAATATTTAGTTTTCTTATTTGATTTTCTCATGGATATTTATTTTTACACATTTACTAATTTATTGAAAACCCTCTTCCTGTTCACTGCAAATTAAATTTATTTCCTCGGAATGTTTATTTATGGCTAATTTAACTACATTCTTTCCTGTCAATTACTTCTGTTTTTACCCTTGACTCAGCAAAGAGACTACTCTGTATTCTGGTACTGATTTCCATATATTCTTCTTTTAGATTTCACCATCAAAGAGTACCATTGGTGATTCTTGTCTGCGGAACTGCTTGTGTTGGGAAATCAACCATTGCTACCCAGCTTGCACAAAGGCTAAACTTGCCAAATGTTTTACAGGTACACATGTTTGCACATTTGTCATTATACCTACTTATCCACCCGCCCACATATCCGTTTTCTTATGCACACATTCAACAGGTATCCTAGGCTTCTTTTCTGGATGTTCACCCACATGGAGAAATAGTGTCACTGATTCAGGACCATCAATGCCTTCTGGCTATTCCATTGTAGCTTAAAATTTGCCTAGAACTAGATACTACTTTAGCCATGTGGAAGGGGCTGTTGGGCTGAAACTCTGAAACTTGCCCAATGAATAGATGATGGACATGGGAACAAATGGGGCCTTTTCGGGCACCAACTGTGCTCCCCATGTGTAAGATACTTGGCCTTTTATCGAGCCAACCCTTGTTCAGTGCCTGGCAGTGCCCCTCCCATGATTTTAGCACTGAAAACTATGATTATTTGAAATCCCAAGTATGCAAAAGTGCTTTGTGGTAATCTCTTTCACATGAGCACACATATAGATGGTACATATTATGTTCATATTGAAAGGTTTCCCAGTCAAGTCAACTAGAATCTTTCTTAGCTGATCCACCCTGTTTCAGACATGTGGAGGGATGATGTGGCCAATCCATACTGCCCATAAGGGCGTCCGAATTATGGCCAATTTAGAGGATTGCTTACATGTTTGACTCTCTGGATTGGGCACTTCACCTGAGTGGCTGAAAAGAGGATTATGGAGCAAAGGGCTCTCTCTCTCTCTCTCTCTCTCTCTCTCTCTCTCTCTCTCTTTCTCTGCTAGAGCTATTTCTAATGCCTTCTGTATTTATATATTTTTTATTGTGACAGACCGACATGGTATATGAATTGCTACGGACATCAACAGAGTATGTGAGGCGAATTCATTGTTTTTCCCTTTCATGTTCATTTTTATTTTATTATTAAATGAAACAAATAACCCATCTATGACTGACATGTCTAGACGTGGATGCAACATGAATTTTGAATGAGTATTCTTCATTGATTTCTATAGGAAATTGGGTATGAAAAAATTCAAATTGGTATGCTTTTTATCAAAGAACCAAGTCGGTGTCACTAGCTCTACCAATATAATAAGTAAATACTACTTTATGATGTCACTTTCTGTATCCAAACTCTATTGTGTTGTTCTGCTTATTCATTGACATATAGCTTTTTTTTTTTCTCTCTAAAAGAAAGTATTGTTATTAGAGAGTATATGCTGGGTACAGGATGTAGATTGTCAAGCATATGCTTGTGATAGTGCCTTTGACTGTGTAAGCTAAATATCCTCTCACAAAGAAAAGAAAATGGGTAAAATCAACCCAAGATGTTTGTCTAGCAAATAGCTTGAGATAAAGGACTTCCTTTCTTTCTTTCTTTTTTTTTTTTTGTGTGTGTGTGTGTGTATGGGCATGGGTGGGGGGACCAGGGGAGGTAGCTTTACTGTCAAATGAGGAGACATGGGGGGAGGAAGACTAGAAGCTATAGAGGGGTTTCCTATGAAGGGGCTAGAAAGAAAACTTAAATTCCATTTACTAGAACGGAATAATGTGTGCAGCCAAAAGGCAGTGGGAGGGTTAGGTCTGCATATGGTTCTGGTGGTGTAATTGTCATCGAAGTAGCCTTTGGTGACGAACAATGTGAGTGAAGTTTGGTTGGGGAACTTCAACTGGGATCTGGGTATAGCTACAATTTCTTATAGCTGTGTGGTTTGGAAAGGTATTGAGAAGTGTTAGTGTCGAGTATGTAGGGGTATTTCTGTCTTTATACTTATGTTGAGGTTGCTGATGTGTAATATTATGTTAGAACTAGTGACCCTCACTTAAGTAGGGGCACATGTGTCTTTTCCATTATGTTAATAATATAAAAACATATTTGGTCGAATGGGAGAGGTAATTTTTTCTCTCATTCGAACCAGACTTTTCTTCTCCTTTCTCTCTCTCTTTCTTTCTTCTTTCTTCTCCTCTCTTCTTGGCTGTTATCAGACTAACAGAACTCAAGGGCAGGCCGAATTATAATAAGAAGGTCAACGGTTCTTTTTAAAGGGATCAAGGTATGCCAGGCCATGGTATGAAAGTGAGGTTCTGGATTGGACCCTTAGTCTGATAGATGACCTTTAATGGATCTCATTCCTGCACCATTATTGATTGCCAAAGATAGACAAGCTGTAGTGGAACATCTATATCAATCTATTGGTAATCAGGTGGTTTGGACACCAAGATTCTGGCGTAACCTCTAGGACTGGGATCTAGATGACATGACAATATTTCTTCACAAGATTCAAAGATGCAATCCTGTACTGGGAATGGTGCAGCTGTTTGTGGACAGGGAATAAGTCTGGTATTTTCACTGTGAAGTCTTTCTTTAAGCAATCACGTGCTTTACCAATCACCAGCTCCACCAGAGGTCCCTTTGTATGGACAACATCCTTGGGTAAATGTTGTAGAGAACACTGATGTGGGCCCCACAGCTGTGGTCCCACTCTGTCCGTAGGGTAGAATGTTCCTAGTCATCCTAGGGTTAGCTGCTGTTATTCTAGTTGTTATTTATTTTTCAGTTTTATATTATTATGTGTTATGTAAATACCAAGGGCAGATGTGTCCTTTCATGTAACTAGCATAACCTANTTCTTCTCCTTTCTCTCTCTCTTTCTTTCTTCTTTCTTCTCCTCTCTTCTTGGCTGTTATCAGACTAACAGAACTCAAGGGCAGGCCGAATTATAGTATGGTATCAGAGCTCAACCAAGCAACTTGGATCTGCCCAGATTTCTGTTTTCTGCGCACCTAGTCTAGGGTTTTCTCTTGGTTTCTTTGTCATCGGTTGGAGATAAGGGAAAGGGCTGAAAAGGAGTGGTCGCCCTCTTCCCTTGGAGGTTTCTATGCCTCCAGTTGTGGTGTTCGTGGTCGGTTGTTGTGGTTTCTAAGAAGCCCTCCCCTAATCGATGAAGAGAAGAGGGCTGATTCGTGTGGTGCAATGGGTGTCTTGTGTGGTTTGATTTTTGTGTAGTTTGATTTTTGGGTGATGAGGTAAGAGATTTCTATGCTTTTTTTTTTTGTGAATCAAATAATACGTATGTTTCAGATCGTATGGTGGGATTTCAGATTGTAGCGTGCTAGGATTTATGCTGTTTTCAGTGTGATTCGAAGGGGGAGTGGTCCGCATATAGTGTGGTGAGATTTCAGGTAGTCGTGGAGTAGGGTTTGTGGTGTAAAGAGTGTAATATTCAGCAATAACAAGTGCTGAAACTAGTGTGATCAGTGTGTGGTGTGGTCTAGTGTGCAGTGTGCTGAATTCAGCAATGGGAGACAATAGTAATAGCAAGTCTAATGTGATGGTCTCTACCGACTACCTGAATGTTCAAATGACCTCTATTAAACCGAATGGAGAGAACTATGTACCTTGGGCTAAATTTGTAGAAGTTTTCCTTAAGGCAAAGAAGAAGGTGAAACACATAAGGGAAGAAAAACCCTCCACTAATTCTCATGAGTATGATGACTGAGAATAAGATGATGCACAGATTATCACGTGGTTATGAAACAATATGGAACCCAAGATTAGTGTAAATTTCATGTTTCTTGACACTGCCAAAGATGTGTTGGACCATGCTAAGAAGTTGTATTCTGGTCAAGACAATACAACCAGAGTATATCAGTTGTATCAGGAATACTTTAATCTGCAACAGGGCAATCAGAGTCTTGAGGAGTACTATGCTAGTATGAGAAACATCCGTAATGAGTTGAATATTTTTCACCCCCTCACTTCTGGTGTCAAAATTCAGCAACAACAGAGAGAACAACTTGGTGTGACTCGATTTTTGCTGGGGCTGAAATCTGAGTATGAACCAGTGCGGGCTCAGATACTAGGAGGGTCAGCTCTCCCTTCCTTAGAAGAGGTGTTTGCTTGACTTCAGAGGATTTCCATTGGATCTACTAAGAACTCTAATGTTTCCGATAGATCAGCCTTTGCATTATCGAGGGGCCGTGGTGTTAGAGGTGAAGCTCGGGGAGCTCAGTTTGGCCGTAGTGGTGGTGGTGGTGGACCTACATATAACCGTGGTGGTGGTTGTACTGGAGGTAGAGATTTAGGGGGAGTCTGTGGCAGAGGACGTAGTTCGGGTCCGAGGTGTACTCACTATGGTATGGATGGAGATACCATTAATTATTGCTATGACTTGCATGGTCCACCCTCAACTTGGGCCAATCATGCCATGACTAGTGACAACAGCTTTAGACAGAAGAGTCGTTCGGTTGATCAGATGCTTCCTACATCCACAGATGTTCCCAAGAAGAAGATGATGAGTGTCCCTCGTGATGAGTATGAGAGGTTTGTCCAGGCCACATCTCAGCAGAACATGGCTACTCTCGCACACTCAGGTATGGTTTGTTTGGCATCCACACCCAATCCTTGGATTATTGACTCTGGAGCCTCTGATAACATGACTGGAACTCCAGTGTGTTTCTTCCCTCTCTCATTGCTCAACATCACAATTTGTTACCCTTGCTAATGGTTCTGCATCCTCCATTTGTGGTGTTGTTAGTGTTAACATGACCCCCTTACCTTTATCCTCAGTTTTGTATGTCCCTAAATTTCCGTTTAACCTTATGTCTGTTAGTAAGTTGACCAAGTCACTCAATTGCTCTATTATTTTTTACCCTTCTTCGTGTGTTTTTCAGGATTTCAAGACGGAGATGAAGATTGGTGGAGGGCATGAAGTTGGTGGATTGTATTATCTTGACGGTGGTGGAAGAACATCAACAACTCTCCAGTCATCTCTCTCCCCTCTTCAGTAGCACTATTGATTTGGTCATCCTTTGCTGAAAGTTTTGAAGTCTTTGGTTCCTTCATTGAGTCAACTTTCTGTTTTAGATTGTGAGTCGTGTTAGTTAAGGAAACATCATTGTGTTTCCTTTAGTCCTAGGGTTGATAACCATGTGTCGAGTTCTTTTTCTTTGGTTCATTCAAATGTTTGGAGTCCTTATAAAGTGATGTCATACAATGGATATAGATATTTTGCCATTTTTGTTGATGATTATTCAAGGATGACGTGTCTCTATTTAATGAAAGAAATGAGTGAATTGTTTACCATTTTCCAAAAATTTTACGCTGAGATTCGCAACCAATTTGTTGTTCACATTAAAATTTTTCATTCCGATAATGGTCGTGAATATTTCTCTTCATCATTTAAAAAATACTTAGACCAACATGGCATTATACATCAGATCTCATGTACCTACACCCCACAACAAAATGGGGTGGCTGAGAGAAATAATCATCATCTTTTGGAAACAGCTCGATCTCTCATGCATCACATGAATGTTCCCAAACCCTTTTGGAGTGATGCAGTGCTTACTTCTTGCTTCTTGATTAATCGGATGCCCATGTCTATCATTGATGGTCATTCTCCATTCACTACATTGTTTCCCACCTTGTCTTCATTTCCTCTTTCTCCTCGGGTTTTTGGGTGTGTTTACTTCGTCCATAATCTGGGCCCTGGGAAGGACAAGTTAGATGCACGATCCATCAAATGCATCTTCCTTGGCTATTCCTAGACCCAGAAAGCGTATGTGTTATCATCCTAGTTCTCAACGTTCATTTGTGTGTGCTGATGTTACCTTCTTTGAGTCTACTCCGTTTTACTTGGGGTCCAGTGATGTTTCTTCCTCCTCATCCTCTTCCAGTTGCGGATTTTGTTCCTCTTGTTCCAGCTGTGACCAAATCCTTGCCTCTAGTGCCACCACCTGTTGAACGGCCACCTATCCGTCAAGTGTATACACATCGCCCACATGTACCGGCTGTTCCTCCTCCAGCTCCATCAACGTCAACAGATTCGGTAGTTATCCCCACACCAGCCCCAACCCCAGTATCT